CTGCATTTGTGCAATGGCAGGAGAGCTGTATTGACCCTGATGGTGGGGCCACACAGCCCCACCATCATCACCTGTCCTCCCTCCTGGTATGTGGCAGTGATCTCACTGTTGCAATCTGCCCCACTGAATGAACCACTCCTGGCTCCTTTCCAGGAAACCGTGCATTGGATTGCAGTCTTTCTGACAATAATAATAATAATAATAATAATAATAATAATAATAATAATTTATTATTTATACCCCACCCATCTGGCTGGGCTTCCCCAGCCACTCTGGGCGGCTTCCAAAAAAATATTAAAATACTGTGATACATCAAACATTAAAAGCTTCCCTAAACAGGGCTGCCTTCAGATGTCTTCTAAAAGTCTGGTAGTTGTTGTTCTCTTTGACATCTGGTGGGAGGGCATTCCACAGGGAGGGCACCACTACCGAGAAGGCCCTCTGCCTGGTTCCCTGTAACTTGGCTTCTCGCAGTGAGGGAACCGCCAGAAGGCCCTCGGTGCTGTACCTCAGTGTCCGGGCAGAACGATGGGGGTGGAGACGCACCTTCAGATACATTGGGCAATATATTCTGTGTCCTTTGCCTCATGTGTATGTGCCTGTATGCAGATCATGGATTACCATTAAGATGCCCCTCAGAAGTTGTTGGACTACAAATCCCATCAGCCTCAGCATGTATAGCTATTGGTCAGGGACAGCAGTATCAACAATCCAACTTCATGTGGAGGGCACTGTTTTGGCTACCACTGATGTATATAGTCCACACCTGCCCACTTTTGTGGACTCCTGTGTTGGGGGGGCTGTCCTGATAGGTTCCTGCACTTTAGAACTGACCACTTCACCACTGTCTACATGCTGGTCCATGAGAAGGAGATCTGGTATTCATTCAGTTGTTTTCTGATTTCCTGGTATCAACCAAGGTTACTAGAGGTCAACATCATCATCATTATTATTTTTAAAAAAGTTTAAGAAGTTTGTTCCTAGCAATCATTCCCTAGAGAATTAATTACCCTAAAGTGAGAGGCAAGTTTTGATCCTTGGAGGCATCTCAACTTAGATGGTTTAATTTTTAAGAAGTTAATAAGTAGACTGGAGCTTGGGAACTAATCAGCTGTTTAAAAAAGTTTTGAAATTAATTATCTGCCAAGTTTCTAGCAATGCTCTATGAAAAGGCCTATGAAAACTAGATTTTTAAAAGTCCTGTGTAAAAGTGTAATTTAACATCAGTGTAAAAAGACATACTGTATATTTAAAATCAACATGCTTTTGACAAAGGTCCTCCTTCTGACAGGTAGAATGTCATGATTAGAGTTGAGGTGAAACTACTCATGGTATTTCACAACCACTTCCAGCTCTGTCAAAATCACTCTTATGGCAACTTTAACTGTGCACAAAAAATATTTTTTTTGCTTAAATTCCCACCACTTGCCCACACTCTCAGTTCCTCACAATTGCCCTCAGTTATGCCAACCAGTCAAATCTAGGTGGCTGTAAGGGACTCTGATCTGCTAGAATCAACTAAGGTTGCTGGAGGTCAGAAATTATTCTGTCACAGTTTAATAAATTTGTTCCTTGTATTCATATCCCTAGAGAATTAAATACCACCCAGAAAATGAATAAGAAGCACACCTTGATTCATAGAGGTATTTCAGCATAGATACTACTACTACTATTATTATTAAGAAGTTAATGAGTAGACTTGGAGCTTAGGAAAATATATAATAAAGTTTAAAGTTTATTATATAGCAAAGTTTCCTGCAGTACTTTTAGATAGTCTATGAATACTGGGATTGTTGGTTTTTTTAACAAATTAAGTCCCCTAACTTAAACATCAATGTACAATAATATACCTTTTCAATCAGCACTCCTTTGCAAAACTGTTGTCATTTGTATTCATTTCTGAAAAAGGCAGTTCTCTTTAGAAATGAACAAACACTTTCCACTTTGACAAAATCACTTTTATGGCAACCTTTTCAGTATTCTGGAGAAAAGTAAAATTAAAATTAAACACCACTTGTCGGCACCCTCAGTTCCCTACTTATGCTCTCAGTGATACCAGCTAGCCATATCTGGGGGAGTGCACATTTAGATACTTATAAAGTACTTTTGGAAAGCATTCAAGGAATGAGAGGAGAGGAGAGATGGGCTACAAGGAAAAGTTAGCATCCGTTGATGGCGGTCAGGCCACTGCAAGCATGAAGAACTGGCAAACAGCTATTTCAGGAGACTGAAACACTCACCATAAAAGTGTAAACTCCACTGTAAGGGAGTGTACAGTTCATTTAAATAAATTAAATGTTTGCAAAGCATTTCTTTGGGAGGAAGGTGTGTAGAAAATGGACCCATTTTTAATCACTGCAGACCGTCACTTAAACAGGCAAAGGAGAGGGGTGATGTCTATAGACAGAGCAAGGGTAGCTAACCTGTGGTCCTACCAAAGTTAACCACCACTGATGTACAGAGATCCAAAGGTACATTTTTGCCATCTTCTAAAAGGGTCCTTGGGCAACATATATAACCACTCTTTCTAGTTGTTTTCTTGCTTTGCTCAACATGCTGACAGGCCTAGTGTGTATGTTTGTTTATATATATATATATATATATATATATATATATATATATATATTATAATAATAATAATAATTTATTATTTGTACCCCGCCCATCTGGCTGGGTTTCCCCAGCCACTCTGGGCGGCTTCCATAGAAACAAAAAATACAGTAAAATATCACAGATTAAAAGCTTCCCTGAAAAGCTTTTCCTTAAGATGCCCTCTAAATGTCAGGTAGTTATTTATTGCTTTGACATATATATACACAATTGGGGACTTCCTGCACTTGAATTGTTTCCTGTCCTTAGTTATGGATGCAACATATTCCACTGTGGGGGGCAGGGAGGCCTAAGTGGTAGAGCATTTGATTTGCACACAGAAAGTCCTGGATTCAATTGCTACCAACTTCAGATAGGCCTGGGAAAGACTGGAATAATCATCAGCTCCTAACTTGGAGATTGAATTTGGGACCCTCTGAATCTGGCAGTGGCTGCTGGCAGATGTGGTCCAAACATGTGGAGAGCACGGGTTGGAGAAGGCTAATCTGTGCAAATTAAAACAGCTTTGTTCCACTTAAGAATGAACATCCTCCTCCCAAGGGACCTTTAAATAAAGCTTGTCTCACTAGTATTCTATGGAGAGGATGATGGAAGACACCCAGCCGTGATAAGCTTTAAGTGACACAGGAAGTCTATATTATAGATCTGGTGCTGAAAGCTGCATCATACCAAGGTAAGGCATATTATAGCATATTATACTGCTTTGCTTTATAAAGGTATTCAGCGTTTTCTTATTTTCATTATGGGCAAACACATCAATTATTCCTTTTTCTGAGAGAGACATATCTAGGGTAGTATCAGTGCCAAACTATATGATTAAATAGTTAACTAGTACAAAATTTTGGCAAATCAGCTTGTATTTACATATTTTTTTTAAGTCTTCATGAAAAAAATTCCTCTAATGTGCACATTTCTTCCTAATCTACATGTTTTTTTAAAGCAATTTATCATAATATAATGAACTTTGACATGTTATTGTCACCAATGTGTGCATTTTTATGGACTTTTTATCCTAGTATATGCACATCTGCACCTACCACTTGGCTGGAAAACAGCATTCCAAAATTTCGAGAACTGAAATTTTTGAAAAATGACACCCCCCCCCCCCCCGTTTATGTGTTATTAGTTGTTTTGAAAGCCTTCAACAACACACATTTAACAACAATGTAATGTGGAGAATGTTGACGCTTTCCTTAACAACTTTGCTCCCACGCTTTTGCTGACTTGGTTCTCTTTCTGTGGTGATAATGTCATAGACCATTTTTTCTGCAGCTATGCTCCAATGATAAAACTTCCTTGAAATCAGGTGCAGCTCCTTCTGGCTCTGGAGGGCATTCTGTCTGGACCAGTGTTAGTCATCTCCTTGTCTGTCATGGGTCTCTCTGATGTCTACATCATTGCAACCATCTTGCACATGTACTCCATAAAAGGTCAGCAAAAGATGTTTCCAACCTGCGCTTCTCATTATTATTACTATTACTATATATAACAGAATTTGACATATTTGCCATTATATTCATAGTATTCCCTCCCTTCCACCTGTGTTCCTTTAGGCACTGTGGCTGGACTCCAATTACACACTTTTTGAAATCTTAGAGCTCTCTCACAACCATTTTGGACAGGAAGGCTTCTATGTACTCCGACTTCAAGCCACAGACGCCGTACATGGTAATTTTCTGGCCTGAGCTCCGTGATGGTTAGCAAAGTTGTTGTAGCAATTTCCTGCCACAATCCCATTGGCTCAGCTTGTGATTTTGGTAATCCAACCATTGTCACAGTGAAGTCAGACTCTCTTTCAGGGCAGAGGCAGTCACAATACAATGGACATGGTGAGATGAGGTATTACGGAGCATGTGGCAAAGGGCAGGATACCACCTTCCCTCCAGCTACAGAAACTGCCTATACTGTGGCAGCTGACTCTTACATCAACACTGGTGAAACAGTGAAGTCCTCTGCCAAACTTTAGCTGAAGGAATATATGGCAGGGCTTGTGGTATCCACAACTCTATCCTCAACATTGCACTGATACCGTTCAGCTTCTGTTCCATAAGGTAACTGCCTCACTCAGCCTAAGTTAGGACTGAGCATGGTGATGTGCAAATTCAGTAACTGTCTTCCTCACACACTATCTCACAAACACTGTTATTAAGTCTTCATTAAGTGGAAGTACTAACCATTTGTGTGAATGTCAATTACCAATAAATATTGGTGGTCCCAATGAATTTCTTTGCAGATATGTTGTCAGACAAGGACTTTGCAAGTGATCAGTTCAGTGTTTGCATGTGTGCTTGACTCTTTGCATGTGTGCTTTGGATAAAAATGGCACTTGTAAATGGATATTTTGCCTCTATCTTTGCAGGTATGGTCAGTTGCATCCAGTTGTGTGAATTTCCCCTGAATATTTAGCTCAGCTGGAAGAGCATGAGACTCTTAATCTTAGGGTCTTGGCTTCAGGTCCCACACTGGGCAAAAAGATTTTTGCATTGCAGGTGTTTTGACTAGATGACCCTTGTGGTCCCTTTAACTTGATGATTCTATGACTCCGATTCTGAGTCAATGTATGAAACAGGAGGCTGAAATATATGATTACCTGGTCTGATCCAGGCAAGCTTGGCTTAACTTCATAATGATGATGATGAGGATGATGATACTTATCTATACTCATCTTTTGCCAGCAGATAACTCATGAAAGTCAAGACTTTATGGAGAACCAAACAAGGATCAATGAGTTTTTACTGCTGGGATTCACTGAGAACGCCAAACTAGAGATATTTTTCTTTGTCCTCTTCTTAATCATGTACCTGATGGCTGTAACGGGAAACATGATCATTATCACCATCACTCTCATGGATTTCCGCCTCAGGACACCCATGTATTTCTTCCTCCGGAATTATGCCATCTTGGAGATTGGATACACCACTGCTGCCATCCCAAAAGCATTGTTCAACCTTGCATCTGGCAGGAAAACAATTTCATATGCTGGATGTATAAGTCAATTCTTTTTCTATTTCTTCCTGGGCACCACAGATTTCTTCCTGCTGACTGTGATGTCCTTTGACCGATATATGGCCATCTGCAACCCCCTAAGATACACCACCATCATGAATGAGAAGTTCTGCACACTTTTGGTGCTCTTCTCTTGGATTGGGTCGCTTGCTGTGATTTTGGCTCAAACTTTGCTATATATTCAATTTCCTATTTGTGGTTCAAACATCATTGACCATTTCTTCTGTGACAGCAAGCCATTACTCCATCTTCTCTGTGGTGACACACATTTCTTGGAGCTCTCCGACTTTATTATTTCGGTGTTTACAGTACTGGGGACTTTCGGTATCACCGTTGTGTCCTATGTCAATATAATCTCAACTGTTCTCCACATCCCAAGTGCTGCAGGGAGGCAGAAGGCCTTTTCCACATGTGCTTCCCACATCACCATTGTCACTGTCGCCTATGGAAGCTGCATCTCTATGTACGTCATACCTGAGCGGGATGGTGGGCAAAACTTCAACAAGGTTGTGGCCGTTCTTAACAATGTGGTTTGTCCTCTAATGACCCCCTTTGTGTACAGCCTGAGGAACAAGCAGGTCCAAGATGCTTTGAAAAATGCTTTTGCCTACAAGCATGTATTTAATAAAATGCAGAGAAACTCATGCAGTTTGAAATGATTGAAGGAATGGGAGTTATGAACTGGTTAAAATAGACCCATGATACTTCTTATGGAGTTTCAGAAGTCCAAATAAATAGTTTTCGCGTTAAAACAAAAGCCTTCACTGGTGTGGAAAACCTCTGAATTATCACCAGATCCTTATTTCATATTCGGAAGATCATAGAATCATAGTTTTAGGCAGTGTTATTTTTCTATAAAAGAGAAGACGGACGTCATGGAGTTTGAAACAACGGGAGGAAGGGGAAACGTGAACTGACTAAAATAGGCTCATGAAACATTTTGTGGTATATCTGAAGCCCAAATAAACCACTTTATTTTAAAATAATAAATGGTTTCCAAAAGTCAATGAACTTGGCATTTCATGTGTGCCGCTTGAATTTCAAGCAACAGAAAACTCTGTTCTACATAACTGGATACTGGTAATCACTCTTACTCCCAGTATGGTTGTTTTAAGAAAACTTAAGCTTTTTGTGGACATTGTGTTTTTATTTCTTTCACACATACCAATCACTGTATCTTTTTCAAGGAAGAACTCTTTACTGTAGAAGATTAAATAGCCCTTTAAGTGCCACTAGGGGGCAGCACTATGCAGTTTTGTAAGCACAACAACCATCTGAAGCAGGAAGCCTGTGCCCCTGTTCATATATTCTGCCAGGGTGGTTACAAGTCACTGGTCACACCTATAGCATACATTTAATGCACTCTTATACCACTTTAAAAACCATGGCTTTCCCCAAAGATTTCTGAGACCTGCAGTTTACTGAGGGTGCTGGGACTTGCAGCTCTGCAAAGGTTTGACTAGCAACCCTCATGCGACCTCCGTTCTTGTGAAAACTGGGCCTTCTCGTTGGAATACCCTATTGTGAAAATGGACCCATTTTTAATCACTGCAGACCATCACTTAAACAGGCAAAGGAGAGGGGTGATATCTATAGACAGAGCAAGGGTAGCTAACCTGTGGTCCTACCAAAGTTAACCACCACTGATGTACAGAGATCCAAAGATACATTTTTGCCATCTTCTAAAAGGGTCCTTGGGCAACATATATAACCACTCTTTCTAGTTTGCTCAACATGCTGACAGGTCCAGTGTGTGTGTGTATATATATATATATATATATATATATATATATATATATATAATATTTATTAATAATTTCAGAATTACAGGAAAAAAACAACAACACTGCAATACATAAAAAGAAGAAAAAACACAAAACATAAAAACCAATACAACAATACAGCAAAAAAGAAAATAAAAAAGGGAAAAAAGACACAAATCCCATATTACATATCTTTAACTTCCATTTGCTTGTTTCGTTGAGCTCCTCACACCTCCCTTTTTGTATTCTAGTTTAGTTAGTTTTTTCAGCAAATTCTTTCCATCTTTCTCAGTTTTTATTAGATGATTTATCTTAACAATTTAACCTATTAATTAACTCGACAGATCCTTTCCAGCTTTCCCCATATTCTGTTATTCAAATTACCTTAATTTATTTAACCTTATCTTACCATAAAATACCTTAAAACTTAAAACTTAATACTCAGTTATACATAACTCCTGATATCATTTCTGCTAGAGTCATATAGTTTCATTCCAACATTTTCCCTAATATTCATTAATTTTAGGCTAATTCCCTAAATAAAAAAAATTTTCTTTATAAATTTTCTTCCAATCTTCATCCAACGTCTCTTCTTCCTGGTCTCGGGTCATGTCAGTTCTTACTTTCCATTCCATCTAGTCCATCAACCTGGTAATCTTATGTCCGAGGCCCTTAAGTCTCTTCCATGTCCCTTCTGCAGATTTTCTTCTTGTTTATACTTGCACTTTTCCTTGTCTTTTGTTGGTCTCTTTCTTAATTTCTTTCCTTTCTCATTGAGGAGTAGGTCTCTGGGGGGTTCCAACCCAAAGTTATCTCCGTCTCCCTTCATCAAACCAACCCATTCCCCACAGTCCCACTCCCCACACTCATCACTATAATCCAAAAAATATTTACGAGCATATTTCGAAGTCTCTCCAAAGTTAAAAGCCTCCTCAGCTCCAGACTCCCCCTGGCCCACTCCAACTTCAATCTTCAAAAACAGCGGCTTATGCTCCTGTAGGGCCTTGGGCCTCTCCATTTGTATTATTTGAGGTGCAACCTCAGCCTCCTCCATTATCTTCTGCACTTGCCCAATCAATACAGGTTCCTGAGTTGGATCCTGGATGGTTTCTGTATCACTATTCACTATTTGTCCACAGTTATTGGCCACAACAGTCATCAAATCCATTTTCTCATTCATCAAATCCATCTTCTCATGCATCTGTTCCAACAAAGCACTTGTCTTGCATAAAGCAAGCACCAAAACTTCCTTCCAGCTCATATTTAGTCAAGGTCAAAAGGACTAATCCCACGATCTTAATCTCACAGCTGTGGAATCCTCAAGTAGACTGCAGCAACAATTTAGCAGGCTCCCTCTAGAGGAGACAATCTTTTTAAGGCAAGTCCAACAAAGGAAAATTACTTTCATTTTTCAGATATTTTGTTTCTTTAGAATGCAAAAGGCAACATTGGAATCAGTTTATTTCTCTTCTTCAGCTATCTGTCAAAGTATTCCATTCACAGTCAATGAACCTCTCCAACAATTTCTGTCTCTGACACCCCGTTCCCAGGTTAGAGACGGTGGAAACTTATCTTTCTTCACTCCCTCTCCTGCAGGCGTTACACAAAGTCCCCCCTTTTCTCCTGCTTCCAAGGGGTTTCAGTAGTTATAAATGAAGGAAATTTAGGCTTTTTTAACGACTTTCCAGGCTTTAGCTTACAAGGTTTTTGCTTTAGTCTATATACAAAAAGCGGAAGGCGGACTTCCTGTTTTGAACCTTCCCGCTTCGATGTCAAATTAAGATATTTCTTGATCCAATTTTCCGTTTCTACTCATGGGTACTTGTTTTAAATCCAATTGTCCACAGGAAAAAGTCAGCGCTCTCCGGCGATGGCTGTGCGGCTTCACTCCGTGAAAGTAGCAGTCAGTTCGCAGCACCGCGCTGCTCACCCCACTTCACTCCGGAATCCCAAAAAGGGGTTCCCTGTGAGTAGGGGGGCGCTCCTGGTGCCCTGCTGAACCCCACATTCCCAGGCTTCCTCCGCCTGGGATTTCTAGCGGGTCCCCACCTTCGCCGCGGCGGGAAGACCCAGTTTCCACGGAGCCAGTTCCTCCAGTCGGAGGAACTTCGCTAGTCGCCGATGGCGCTAACCCGGAAGTCTGTTTATATATATATATATATATATATATATATATATATATATATATAACAATTGGGGACTTCCTGCACTTGGCCAATTGTTTTCTGTCCTTAGTTATGGGTGCAACACATTCCACTGTGGGGGGCAGGGAGGGCTGAGTGGTAAAGCATCTGATTTGCACACAAAAGGTCCTGGGTTCAATGGCTACCAATTTCAGATAGGCCTGGGAAAGAGTGGAATAATCATCAGCTCCTAACCTGGAGATTGAATTTGGGTCGCTCTGAATCTGGCAGTGGCTGCTGGGAGCTGTGGTCCAAACATGTGGAGAGCACAGGTTGGAGAAGGCTAATCTGTGCAAATTAACGCAGCTTTATTCTATTTAAGATTGAACATCCTCCTCCCAAGGGACCTTTAAATAAAGCTTGTCTCACTAGTATTCCATGGAGAGGATGATGGAAGACACCCAGCCGTGATAAGCTTTAAGTGACACAGGAAGTCTATATTATAGATCTGGTGCTGATAGCTGCATCATACCAAGGTAAGGCATAGGCAGTGTTATTTTTCTATAAAAAGAGATGCC